GGCGCCTCCAATGGGAGCTGGCTGTGGGTGGCAGGGTGCTGGAGCCTCCAAGTAGGTGTCTGGGGAGGAGCCGTTTCCCAACGGATCAAACAGGCCCGTAAAGCTGCGTCTGCCCCGGGGGCAGGAGCGCGGTCTGGCAGAGGCAGCTCCGCTCGAGTCGTGATTTTAGGGAATCAACAGGAGCTTTGGCAGCGCGGACGGGTTTGTGCCTAGTGCTCGGAGCATCCCCCCGTGTGCGCTCGCATTGAGTCCCTCTAGGCAGAGGCTCTTTGCTGAGCGTCGCAATAAACCGCGTTGAGGAACGCGGTGAGCGCTGCCCCGACGATCTGCTCCAGGCTCACGAAGCCTGCACGGCCTCTCTGCAGTTTCCTTGCACAGGTTTTGGGTTTCTTTGCGTCTGCAGCCTTGGGAAAGGCGCCGAGCTCGGCGCGCGGCTCTGCTGCGGGCGCTGCAGCATGTCTTGCTGGACGCCGGCTGCTTTTACCTGTAAAAATTCCATGCAGTGGAAGCTGCTGCGACGGAAGGAGCAAGAGGTGCAATGCGGGATGTACAGCAGTAATGCAAGATAAGAGAAGGGTAACCTATGTGTTGGTGAACTGCTGTGTGGCTCCAGAGACATCCTGAGCTCAATTAACCCCAAATTAGTTAGTTAGTCAAGGCTGGAGCTCCTCTACCGGAATAAATACATGTGTTTTAACTACTGCATCGTGCCCCTGCGATCAGGCTTCCCCACACCTGTGCTTGGGGTTAGTGCCTGCCTCTCTGACCTCTAAGTGTGACAGTCCTGGTGTTTCCAGTGCCTTGTCACCTCCCCGGGAGGAAGATGCACACGGGGACGCGGCCTCCTGCCGTCCCTTTGGAATGGGACAATTTGGGAATGACCCGTCTCTTCTTCCCCCTGAAGCTGCTTCCTCGCAGGCTCCCGGGCAGCTCTGCCCTGTAAAATTAGGGGATTGGGAAGAATGGGGCCATCTGGGATATCCCCAGGGATTTCTGCCTGTTACATCTGCACCTCCGTTGCTTCCTCTAGGAGGAAGGCAGCCCTTTCTTGCCTCCAGGCTGTCCTTAAGCCCCGTTTCCCCGGAGCAACACGTGTGTGCATCACGCTGCACCCGCTGCTTGAGCGGATTCTGCACGTTTCTTGGGCAAACAGCCCCAAACAGCCGCCAGTTCCGCGCTGTCCCCAAGGAAGAGGCTGCTCCTCCCCTCCACCTGAGCCTTCAGGAATCTCCTGCGCTTCCGTGGGCGTTGGAAAGCGCGTGCTGCCTCCTCAGCGCTTCCCGACTTGCTGAGAGTAGCACGCTAAAAAATTCCATGGAAAGCGGAGGCTGCGGAGGCTGCAGCGGCGGCGGGGGAGTCGCGTTCACAGGAGGTTGGTTTTTGTTGTCGCTGTTTATCTTCCTCAGGCTCCTCAGGAAATAGGAGTCCATAAAGGTTCCTCTCCAGGGTGGGCTCCCTGGAGCACTGCAAGATCAGTGAGTGCCGGTGGCTCTTCGGATCAGCGGAAAAACCCAGGAAAACTGGCCGGGAAGCAGTAAAAAAGAAGGCTTTTTGATGGCAGCAGCGCGGATGGGAGGCCTGCGGGCAGCCTTTGCCACCTCCAGACGAATAGCCTGCATTCTTCCCTCGGGATGGAGCAGGGAAGCCTTCCAGCCCCAGCCCCTTCTCCTGAGGCTCCTGGAACAGAGCGGGGGTGTCTGTGGTCCCCTTGGAACAATGCAGCCTTTTCCAAGTGCTGCTCGGGCTGCAGTTTTGCAGAGGCTGCCGTGAGAAACCCTGGAAAACCTGCCAGATTCCGTGACTTTTCGGACAAGCAGGCGCAGGGCAGAAGAGGACGAGGGATTTGTGTTCCTTTCTAGAACCCCTCTGGTGTGTACCGTGGAGGTGGGATGTGCTGGGTCCTCCCCGCGCCCTCGCCTGCGCGTCCTTCATCTCCGTTAGCAGCTCGGGGTGCTGTTTGCTGCTTCCACGGCTCTGTTCCCTCAGCTTTATCTTTTGCTTTGCAAGGTTTTTGCAAGGATTTTCCCCGTCTCCCCGTTAGTAGCAACTTGGATATTGGGAAATTAGTCATGAACTCTGAGGGTTTAGAGCCTCCCTTGCTGGCTCATCCATTTTCTGCTGCCATGGAGGAGAAAACGCTAAGACCAGAGTGTGTCTGGAGTCTCTTTAGTGGTACCGAAAGTCTCCTGTGACGTTTATTGTGGGGTGTTGAGTCTTGGCCCGCTCAGAAATGCTGCTCCCTGTTAATTGGCAGCGAGGATCCGGCTTGGAGCTGTTTGGAAGAGGCACGGGCACATCGCGGGAAGCCAAGGATCGCTCCCTGTGGCTGCCCATGCGGAGCAGCGCCTGGTTTTCTGCGTCTCTGTTAGCTGGGAATTCCTCCCTCCAAAGGAGCAGCGCGGCGGGATGTAGCGGTGCCCGGTTCTCTGCAGTGCATCGGATGCTTTGGAAAAAATGTGGTTCGCTCCTTCCTCTCAGGCAGGGTCTGCTGGAGCTTGGAGGAGGAGGGTTCTCCTGCTGCTGGGAACGGCAGGAGGGCGCGGGCGGATGGTGGGAATGTCAGGAGAGGAGCAGCGAGAGCAGCCACACGGACCCTCCGCTTCCTCCTGCTGCAGCAGGAGCTGCCTGGGAGAGGTGAAAAAGATCCCCCCCCAAATCATCTTTCCTGCTTGGAATTGCTCCTCGGATCTCTGGCTCCAGAGGCTGCTCTCTGGCTTATCCCCTAATTGCCTCCCTGCTGCGTGCCCCTTAAATCCTCCTTTCCCACCCTGCAGCCCCGCGCAGCGGCCGCGGGGCTGACCCACATTCCCAGGGATTTAAAGCTCTCCCTTGGAGAGCTCCTGGATGCAGCCAGGCCCGGCAGGCCGTGCCCGGCCGGAGAAGGAGCCTCGTCCGGCCGGAGAAGGAGCCTCGTCCTGCCGGAGCGGGGCCGGGTTGGGAGGGGCCGCG